AAATTAATTTCTTCATTCTGGCTATAATTATAATCCGATCTGATTCAGATTCGGCAGTCTGGTAGATATGGGCATTCTCTACGATACTGCGTTTTTAGTATTATCGTATCTTTAAAAATGTGCCTGCCACAGATTTTCGTCCTTTGTGTGGGCGGAAGGGGGCTGGGCGAAATTTTGAAATACACTTGTAGCAGTGTGATATCACATGAGTCTGGAAACCAAATTTGGTTGCCCTAGCTCTTATAGTCTCTGAGATCTAGGCGCTCAATAAGACGGACAGACAGACAGACAGACGGACAGACAGACATGGCTATATCGACTCGGCCATTGATGCTGATCAAGAATATTATATACTTTATGGGGTCGGAAACGTTATCTTCTCTGCGTTACACACATCCACTTTTACCACAAATCTAATATACCTCTTAACTCTTTTTTGAGTACGGGTATAAATATATATACTGACTGAGCACGGGTATAAGGAGAGTCGTGTCCCCAGAAGCGACTCGTACGTTTCTTCTCGTTGAATTTTGTTGCTTACAAAATTTTATAAAATTCGGTAGCAACCTCTAAAAAATTTTAATTTAAACTATACTATAAATTTTTAGAAAAAAAAAATGTGTGTAAGGGGCAACGCGTGCACCTAATTGATTGCGGTAGCCAGAGTATGTGGCATGGTTTGCATAACGAAATTTTTACTTTTCTATGAATTAATCAAAAAAAAAACGAGAAGGAACGTGTGAGTCGCTTCTAAAGACGCGACTCTACTTATAACCGTACTCAGTCAGTATTTACATTTTTTAACATATGATTTTTTAGAATTTTAGAATTAAAAAAAAAATTTTACATTTTAAATTTTTTTGCTACATCTGTTATCTACATCTACAATGTATATTTTACATCTAACATGTAGATTATAGATGTACCATTCAGATTCTACATCTTCTCCGCTAGGGGTTGCTCGCGCACTGAACGCGGCAGAGTGTGCGAGCGAGAAGGAAAATGAGTTGTGTTGTTGACGGCGGGAGGGGGAGAGGAAGCAAATGAAAATTCATTTCTTCATTCTGGCTATAATTATGATCCGATCTGATTCAGATTCGGCAATCTGGTAAATATGGTCATTCTCTACGATACTGCGTTTTTTGTTTTATCGAATCTTTAAAATTGTGCCTGCCACAGATTTTCGTCCTTTGTGGGAGGGGAAGGGGGCGGGGCGAAATTTTGAAATACACTTGTAACAGTGGGATATCACATGAGTCTGGAAACCAAATTTGGTTGCCCTAGCTCTTACAGTCTCTGAGATCCAGGCGCTCATCGAGACAGACAGACAGACAGACAGACAGACAGACGGACAGACAGACATGGCTGGCTATCGACTCGGCTATTGATGCTGATCAAGAATATATATACTTTATGGGGTCGGAAAATGTTTCCTTCTCTGCGTTACACACATCCACTTTTACCACAAATCTAATATACCCCTTAACTCTTTTTTGAGTACGGGTATAATAAATAAAAAATTTTGTCTAAAATGTTGTTCAAACGCTTATTTCATTTTATTTTGGTCATTCTTAGGTGTTTTGTTTTATACTTTTTGGTGAAAATTGCAATTTGTTTATTTTTATACCCTACTCAAAAAAGTTGGGTTGTGTGGGGGGTGCGCGGGCGTTCGACCCCAAAGCGCTTAGCCGCCGCGCCGCCGCGCCGCCCCGCGCCGCGCCGCGATGAGTGTATAGAGACTAAAAGCTAGAGAAACCAATTTGGTTTCCAGACTCATGATATCACACAAAATGAAATTCAAAATTCGCCCCGTTCGAACAACATCTTGGCAGGCACATTTAAATTTGAAACTAAAACGCGTATGTGAGATGCCCATATCTACCAGATTGCCGAATCTGAATCAGATCGGATTATAATTATAGCCAGAATGAAGAAATTTATTTTCAGTTGCTTCCCCTCCACCACCCGGCCAAAACAACGCAACTCAGTTTCCTTCTCGCTCGCACACTCTGCCGCGTTCAGTGCGCGAGCAACCCCTAGCGGAGGAGATGTAGAATCTAATTGGAACATGTGCAATCTACATGTTAGATGTAGAATATACATTGTATATGTAGATGTAGATATCATATGTAGCAAAAAAATGTAAAATGTAAAATTTTTTTTTTTTTCAAAAATTTTTAAAAATCATAGGCTCAAAAATGTATATACTGACTGAGTACGGGTATAAGTAGAGTCGCGTCTCCAGAAGCGACTCACACGTTCCTTCTCGTTTGCTTTTGAAAATGTGTGCGTTTTAAACCAACCTGTGTGGTTATAGTTAAATGTCGTAACGATTAAATTTGGGCCCACGAACGCGAAATTCGTCACAAGTTGTGGCTTCGAAAAGCCGTGAAAGTAACCAAGACATTACATATTTTTTGTTTTTGTACGTTGGACGTTGATATGCAATGACTGCACCATCAACTGGCCCATGCGACACCAAGCCAAAGCCTGTTACGCGCAGAACCCAGGCAGAAACGCAGCCCTCCTTCCGCCCAACCGACCGAGGGGCGCTGCCGCATAACGCGCGACGCGTGTTACCGAACCGATCGCGAGCATGCAGGAAAGATAGGTGTTAGACTAAAATTCGAGGAAAATTAGATCTAAACACAACTCAAAGAGCTAAACATGCAAAGATAGCTAAGAAATTTTACTAGTTACGGAAAAGGTATTAGGTATTCCTTCCATATTGGGGGGAAGCATGAAGAGTTAATGGATAGGGTGAATAGTTTAAGCAAGGGTCCACACAGAGCGTCGGCACAGTACCTAAGTACACAGCCGGGAACTCCGTCGGGACCTGGTGAAAACACCGGCTTAACTAGTCGAAGATCATGAAGCAGTGAGCTTTCATTTAACAAGGGCCTGAAAATGCCGTTTGACCTTGGTAAACTGTGTGGTTACGGCTGATAAGAGTAGCTTTCATGAGAATAGGTTGTTTGGAAAAAATTAGCAAAAAGATCGGCAATTGCCTGATCATTGCTTGCTGACATATTGAGAAATGATAGCGAGGATGGATGTGCGGACGTTCTACGCTTACTATTTACGAAGCTGTAAAACTGTTTAGGGTCCTGTGAAAATCGTATCCTGCATCGAGATAGGTAGTTTTTAAAGCATTTAGCGTTAAGAACGGAGAAATTTGACCGAGCTATTACATAGTGAGAAAGAGAAGAGGGAGAACCAACTTCTCGAAATTTGGTATAGTCTTGATTTTACATTTTTTAGACTGGATAACTCTTTGGTAAACCAAGGAGGCTTCCCAGATCTAACCGGACAAGAAAGTGGCACACAAGAATAAAAAAATGTGTCAAGTACATTGTAAAAAATGTTTGTGCCTTTTATAACGTCAGTGCACAAGTACATAGCGGACCAATCAAAATCCCTAATGAGGTTATTAAGCTTCGTAAACTCGGCTTTACGAAAGCAGCGCAAACGTTCAGATAGCCTATCTATTCGATCCTATACAGTAGGCTCAATATCGACCGAAACTTCGAGTGTAGGATGGTAGGAGTCTTCAGGTATAATTAGAGGAAGGGCTCGGGTTAGCAACGCTATGGTCGGATCCGAGGCAAAGCTCAGATCAAGCAATCGACCCAAGGAAATTTTCACATGGTTGACTTAAGACAGGGATAGGTCTAGCAAGCCGTCGATAAAGTCATGTCGTGACATGGGCACAAGATTATTAGACTCGTATACCGAAGACCAAACAGTACCTGGCAAATTGAAATCACCAAGAACTATAATATAGTCTTTATCTGATAGCGAGGAAGAAACAGTTTTTAAAGCGGTCAGGTGATGCTCGTATATTAAGATATACGATGAAGGTGGAATGGCCGGCTTTAACCAGGTCTCGGTAAACACAATAACGTGGGACGAGAATGCGAGACTCTCCAGAAAAAGGAGTGCTGAGCTTACTACGCAAGCCTCTAGCATTCTGGTAGGTAACTTAAAGAGAGGAAGTTAGTTTTATGAATGGGTGGAAGTAGAGCGGGAAGATGAGGGTGGAGATGGAACCCTGGCCTGACTGCTAGGAAGAGCTATGGGGGCCTTCTTCTTCTTAACCTTGTACTCTGTCACAACATATTCCTCCGGCCAAAATGGCAGAGCAAATGGCTTCTAAATGAGTTTTGCAGACGCTTATCTTACTGGAAGCTATTTCCCTGGCACTAGAGAAATAAAACTTCTCCACCTTTAAGCCATCGGCTTTTATTTTGCTTGGAGTAAAAGCCGTTACATCGTTAGATGTAAGGTCAGGGGCAAGCCGTGATTAAAAAACTTGCCGCTTTAGTGGGACTCCCATCAGTGGTTTTGGCACCACAGGTTTTGGACCTGTGTTGGTAATATCCTGAGGTCGTCTATTAGCTGGTGGGAGCGAAACTGATTGGATAGTTAAGGAGTTGGGTGCGGTCTCGACGAACACGGACGCTACAGACATTTCTAACTGCATACTCTCCGAAGTGACGCATTCGGCTCCCGAATCTACATCACCAGCAGCGATCGTTGCCCTTAGAGTAGCAAACGTAATCAACTGCTGCACTAAGGGAGTGGTCGGAGTAAGTTTTTCAGATGCCGGCGGACATGAGGCAGTCGGCACTTGCAAGTCCCGCGGAGTAGACTTATTTCGCCTCGGAGACTCAGCCAGCAGCTGTAAGCTGCTGAACTGAGTGTCCATGGCCAAGTGCCGATCATATTGCTATTGAAAGCCTACGATCAGCTCTTTGAAGCCACTTCGCGTCTGCCTCATGAACGAACGCATGTCGTTTTCCACAGCACAGCATTCCTCACAACTATAATGCAGGCTGTTTTTTGTGAAATTAAATCTCCTACACGGCCCGAGATCCCCTACACATTTTGCGTGCAGTACGCTTTCGCAAAGCCAGCGAGGGATATTGGGCTGGTCATGGGTGATTTTCGAGAAATTCAAATTAAAAACCATCCCAAATAGCGTATAATAATCAACTCACCTTGCGAATTGGGTTCAGGCAAATTATCACGAGGCACTAAATGCATAACAGTCGTTTTGCCTAATGGAAGTCCCAGTGCTCCTAACGTTACATTGCAATGTAGGAAACGTCCCTGATAAATCAAACGTAAAATTTCAGCCTTTGAAACAGCTTCGCGCTTCCAATCTAAAAAAAATATATTTTAGAACTGTGTAAGAATCTATATTATTATTAAATTAATTAAATTAAAATCAGATAATTAAACATTAAGTTTCAAATTTAAGTCACCATAGATTTGCTAATATCTTGTTACTTTTATCTTTAAACTATTTGGAACTAAATAAAATCAGTTTCTATGAAAAACACAGATATGCAGTGGTGCCACAGATCGCGCGTGTAATGGGAATCAGCAGAGAGAAATTCCGGGTATAAATTTCAGCAGTACATTTTTAGAAACCAAACTCGAACAAAGGCTAGTGTTGACACCATCCAAGATTAAATTAGCATAGGGTTCATTTCAAAGTTCTATTAATTTTATGAAGTAATATTTAATTGATTTTTCAAGGCTGTACTTAAAAAAATTTTAGTTTTAATTTGAACCAAACCGTCTTTTTCCGAGAGGAAGGAAGCTTTCAATTTTTTTAAAGAATTCTTTCTTTTTGAAGTATTTTTAAAAGCAGGTTGTTCGGCTAAGCGCCGGCCCATGGCAGCACATAGAGTAGTTGAGCATCTCTTAATGTAATGTCTCTCTTTATAACCGTTTGTTTGCTTGTACTTATGCTCTTGCTGGTGCCTTGCTCCTTCTCGGCTTTCGTCAGCCGCTGTGGGGGAGGTTCGTCAGAAAAGGCAGAAGTCACTTCAAATTCGATCATCACCGTAGTTAAACGTTTGGCTGTCTGGCACAGTGACCTGCCTGCCACAGAGTTCTAAACTAAACCTAACATGAACATATCAACTTCAACAGTCTTGAACCGGCCCACGAGTCTTTAATCGACCCATCGTTGACTCTCGTTATCAAATCCGCACACCTTTCGCTAGTTTTGGATAATACATATATATTAACTTAAGTAAAATAAACTGTGAATATATTAACTGAACAATCATCGTCTCTTAAATAATCTTGCAAAACAACGCTACTGAGTAGCTCAGTAGCTAAACACAGGTATTTTTTTTTTAAATATAATTTTTTTCACATAACTTAAGTATCTTGCATTTGGTTTTAATGAATTTTGCCATTCTAAAAATCTAATTTAAGCAGCTATCAATTATACCTAAGCAATTTGTGATTTCAGCTTACCGTTTGGGAAATATTAAGCTTTCAAATGCAAAAATTATGATTTTTGTGCGGTATTTTTTTTTACGAAATTTTGACATTAAAAATTTAGGAAAAGTCGAAAAAAATATATCCTGGGTCCTTTATTTTTTAGCATATAGGTGCATTAATTTGGCATCGTTTTAGGTATTGCTCACTAAAATCTATGGAGAGATGGCGGATCTAAAACCCTCCGACAAACACTCCAACCAACCATCCCAAAATCACATTTTATCATTTTACAGTTGCAGGCCCACAAAGCAATGCTTGTTTTGACATTTTTGAATTTTAAAATTTTCAAAATTGGAATTTCATATCAAGTAAATAAACATTGCTTTGTGATTGAAAGGTGGGGGTATATTTCCAAAAAAAACGAGAGGGAACGTGTGAGTCGCTTCTAGGGACGCGACTCTACTTATACCCGTACTCAGTCAGTATATACATTTTTGAGCATTTGATTTTTTTGAGTTTTAGAAAAAAAAAAATTTTAAATTTTTTTGCTACATCTGTTATCTACATCTACATATATTATGTATATTCTACATCTAACATGTAGATTATACATGTACCATTTAGATTCTACATCTCCTCCGTTAGGGGTTGCTCGCGCACTGAACGCGGCAGAGTGTGCGAGCGAGAAAGAGAATCAGAAGCGTCAGCAGCGCTGGAGAAGGAGAGGGAACCAACAGAAAATTAATTTCTTCATTCTGGCTATGATTATGATCCGATCTGATTCAGATTAGGCAATCTGGTAGATATGGGCATTTTCTACGATACTGCGTTTTTAGTTTTATCGTATCTTTAAAAATGTGCCTGCCACAGATTTTCGTTCTTTGTGTGGGCGGAAGGGGGCGGGGCGAAATTTTGAAATACACTTGTAGCAGTGTGATATCACATAAGTCTGGAAACCAAATTTTGTTGCCCTAGCTCTTATAGTCTCTGAGATCTAGGCGCTCAACAAGACGGACAGACAGACAGACAGACGGACAGACAGACAGACAGACAGACGGACAGACAGACAGACGGACAGACAGACATGGCTATATCGACTCGGCTATTGATGCTGATCAAGAATATATATACTTTATGGGGTCGGAAAATTTTCCTTCTCTGCGTTACACACATCCACTTTTACCACAAATCTAATATACCCCTTAACTCTTTTTTGAGTACGGGTATAAAAATTAGTACAGTTGGCAATCTACGAACAATTTAATTTATAAGTAGCTTATTTTGTTAAGAACAGATGCTTTAAGCGGCATCATGTCTGAAAATAAAACCATACCCTACGAAAAATTATTTGTTTACAAGTCCAATCCAAAGTTGCAGAAACTGTAAAAATGATAGAAATATTTAATACCTATTCTATCACCACGAACCCAAAATGTGAAAGGTGGTACAATTTTCTTGTCAACGTTATGTTTTTTGTTGCTATAAGAGCTTCAGATATTGAAATAAACTTGTAGCAGTGTATGATATGAGTCTGGAAATATTATTTAGTTGCTCTAGCTCATATAGTCTCTGAGAACTAGGCACTCAACAAGACGAACGAATGGACATACGGACGGACAGACAGGGCTATATTGACTCGGCTATTGATGCTGATCAAGAATATATATACTTTATGGGGTCGGAAACGTTTCCTTCTCTGCGTTGCACACATTCACTTTTACCACAAATCTAATATACCCCTTAACTCTTTGAGTACGGGTATAATTAGACGAATAGGATAACATTTGCGAAAACCACCGACTAGAGAAGTCTCAAAATCCATGAAATATCGGGAGCGGCAGTTTTTAGTCGCTGGGTGTACAAGTGTCGTGTTTTAACTATTTTTTGTGGGCTTAAATATTAACCAATTGAGCTGAAATTTTCAGAGGATTATATTTTCATATTCTAAATTATTAAAAAAAATCAAAGCGATATAAAGTATAGCTGCCATACAAGCATGGTCAACATATGGTATTTTTTTAACTTTGACCTCAAGTCTGCACCTCTAAGGGCCGGTATCTCGACTTCGGGTTAAAATTAATCAGAACGTTAAAGTATCCAAAAATGAAAATTTGGTTTCTTAAGGGCTCTTGTGAGGGTTAACATTCAACCGGCGGCCGGAACCCGGCTAGCCCACCTTGATTTGTGCAACCCTGGTCAAGCAGAAAAAGTGCGTTTGTTTTTTGCAAAATATAAATCAAAATGCGTAATAATATTCTATGGAAATGCGAGCCATCGTGAGACTTCGAGTAAACCTTCCACAACTTTATCAGGTGGTTAACTTTATCCTAACGACAACTAATCGGTACCGTAACCGGAAGACGAGATACCGGCCCTAAATGTATTCCAATCGGGCTAAAACTTGCTTTGCTTCATAGAAAAAGGAACATTCTAAGACCCTGAGACCTTTGAAAATCAAAATTTTCCAAAATAATCGCCCTCCTAATGTATACATGGAGCTATCTGTACATTTCTCTCGCCATTTTTGACCAAATTTGATCTGCAAGATATAATTGAAATATTTGTATCCCAGGATTGTTGCGTCAAGTTTAATCTTAGCTGAGAAACCTCCACAACCAAATAAATGCAGATTTCAGATGTCGAAGATCTCTCCTCATAAAAAGCTGAAAAGTACGCACCCAATTGCCCAAAAAGTTCATCCATGTAAGGATAATAAGAATAATACACCTGCTACCAACTTTTCGGTAGCACTTCAAAACAATCGCTATGCAGCGCTAGCTGAAGAAGCTGAATATGTAATGGAACTGCACGAAGAAGATCAAGATGAACAAGTAGACCCCAACCAACAAAATTTAGTTGGCTCTGAGCAGCAAAAAAGCAAAAAAAAAACGTGTTTCGAGCAGTATTTAATATGCTGAAAAAACAAAATTGTGAGTTTTGGCATCATCAGTTGAGAGAGGATACAACGTTCAGATTAGTGATTCGAGATATACATCCCAACGTACCAAAGAAATTGATTGAACGCACATTCACTGATAATGGCTGCATAGTCTTGAAAAATCTATTTTCCCAGGAAACCGGACTGGCGCAATATCACAATCAATGCGGAGGATGATGAAGAAATAAATAATGTGAAAACCAGACAAAACATGTTTTACGTAAACCTAAAGAAGACACAAAATATTGCAGAGGCACTTAAAATAACTCAAATTGGAAGACACAGAGTAACGGTGATGAAGGCAAAGCACTTTAAAGAATTGGTGCAATGCTTAAGATGCCAAGACTTTGGGCACACGCGAAACTACTGCCTTAAAAAGCCAGTTTGTGGCAAATGCTCTGGCGACCATGCTACTGGATCAAAGTCCTGTGAGCTAAGTCTTGGCGAAAAATCAATATGTGCCAATTGTGGTGATTACCACCCATCTAACTTTAAAGGCAGTGAAGTTAGAATAGAGCTGAGTAAGAAACTTAAACCAGTGGCAAGAGTACCGGAAAATGGATTGCCAAATAATCTCAAAAATAAAACTCAGCCAGTCACAATTCATTTCAAACGCTACCGCTAGGAGTGGCTTTTCCTATGCAGACATGATAAGAACACGTCAAGGGAAAAATAAAAACGGGCCCACACAGTGGGACAGTTCCCGGTCGTACGAAGCTGAAGATCAACAGTTAAGTGGAAAATTTAAAATATTGGAGAAAGCCAAAAGTCAAGTCAAACTCCAGAAAGGACCAAATGTTTAAACTTATGCAGGAATCAATGGAGGCAAACAAGGCATTTCGTGCCTTGGTACATATGCTTATCTCGAAATAACTAATCCAATATTAAAAATCGGATTATGGAATGCACGAGAACTAGTCAAAAGCAATGAAGAGCTCAGACTTTTCCTTAGTGCCAATGAGATAGATGTAATGTTGATAACTG